AGGGTGATGGATGACGAGGGAATGCATTGGGACGGCAGCACCTCACCCATTAATCTGCAGAACTGCCTGTCTGTGTCTGTTTGCATGGCAACACCAGCTCCCCATTACTCATTTAGCTGATGCACATTATCATTGTTTGATGAAGGAGTTTGCCTGTAAAAGATTTGGAGGGTACTTTTGGCTCCCCTTACAAAACTCCTACAGGCTCACTGAGGTGTCAGATAAAGCCACTTAATTGCTGCACTCACCATATTTCATGTGGAAGCGTCCTGGATGAGGTTTCCCAGAGCCTCTCTGAAAAAAAGGCTAAAACTTCTCACGCTACAGTTAAGCACCTCAGCTGGGTGCCGTTGTTGATGCTCTAAAGGCTGGAAGAAGTGATGGGAGTAATGGGAGCATTGTGTCAAAGTGCACTGTAATTTAAAGAGCCGTAAACTTTAGTTTTAATTGCTTCTTCAGTCGACTGTTGTAAATTGCATCCTGCAGATTTCATGTGGTGGCCAGAGTTTACCTTGTAAATTGCACAAAACAAGTCTTTTGCACCTGTGGTATTTGAAAACGCTCCTGTGAAATGGTGCATGGCTGCGGGCCGCTGCGTGTTGTGGTTGTGGCTCTGTGAGCAATCATCCGTCACACTTCCATTAAGGAGGCGTTTTGTGTGTAAAGTATTGTGCAGAGGTCTAAAACAACCCTTCCCCACAGCTACTGCAGAGGCTCTACACAGAATTGAATTAATGTTAGAAGGAAATCTAATAATGACCCATCGACCATCATTCACTGTCTTAGTACAAAGCACCCTGGATTGCTCACTTATCCACTTACCTTTAAAAAGACGGAAAACTGATGATTTTGCCATTTCGGGACAGACACTGGGAACAAATAACTGAAGGAGGTCTAGTTGTAAGTACGGTGGCCTGGAGAGCTCAACGCACTGCAACTAAAGGAAAAAACATGCAAACAGACAAAACACAATAAATGCAATTATGATACATCCATGTGCACTTGTTCAATGCTTTTAAACTTCAGAAGTCACAAGGGCATGGCATGCATTGGTACCTGTTCATTTACAAAGCCCTTTATTGGGAAAATCACCATCGTATATTACGTCTGTCTTTGGTCAGATCAGTTGCTACGCACCAAACTCAGTCACATGATCGGCTAACACTCCATGTCGGGAAGGTAACTCTGAATTTGGAAGGACTGCGTTTGGATGTAATGTCCCGGACACATGGAAGAAGCTGCAGAGCAATTTAAAAATGGATAGTTTAATACGTTTTCCTCATTTTAGAAACAAGATTTTAAAAACCGTCCCAGAACACAATGCAATGGTTTCAACTGATGAGACTGAAACTGTGTTTTCTAATCTGTTCATCTTATATGTTTTAAATTTTCCTTGTGTTTTTCATTTTATTGTTTATTTAAATTGTATTGTATAATTATTTTTGGACTATCTGTTCATTGAATCATTTTTATTATTTTTTCATGACATTCACAGGTCTCTCTTGAAAATGAGAATTTACCAGAATAAATAAAGGTTAAATAAAAAATTGAACAACACGTGCGCCCAGCTGGGTTCATCACTTTTTAGTGTCCTGTGGAAACACTTCAGTTGTCCTCTATGCTACTTGCAGCACCTTTGTTTGTTTGGTGTGTTGTTTGTGAGTATTAGCAGCACATGTGTCGTGAAATCGTCTATTTGCACGTGTAGTCTTCAGGTGCAGTGCACTGAGCCCTCAGGGCCACCGTAGTAACGGAGCAGGTTGTGCAGCTTAACACCAAACTGTACAAACTGAGCCGTTCAGTCAGTGACACTAAGCTTTTGTAATGACAGAAACTAATACTGTGACAGTTAACAGTTAAAAATGATTCTTTAAAAGTGGGATCTGTAATGATGATGACGACCACCTCTGTTGAAGGTGATATTTAACAGCTTTGTGTTGAATTGTGTGACTGCATCTCTGACACCCAGCACTCAGTCAACCCGGACAGAGGCCAGCGCTAACCATCCATCAGCATGACACTCAACACGTCGCCAGCTCTCCGTGTCCAGACCTCCGCGGCAATTTCAGGCACTAATTAACCGCTGTAGGCTTGTCTCCATGTATTGATCCTGCCTCAAGTGTTCTTAGCCAGGGTTTAATCTGGACCCTGTTCACTTTGCCACTGAGTGCAATGAAAAAGTATTGTTTCACATCACATGGGACTGGATTTGTTCTTTAGATCTTGGTCTGGTTTGTTTCTTCGAGAAGTGGCAAACACAAAGTCTGGAGCCACAGCCGGGATCGCACAGATTACATGTTTAAATAATAGAAGAAATCCAAACGAGAGTTACACAGATAACTGTGTGTGGAACATACAGTGTCATCATACCAAAGCACCTGAACTTGCACCCTCGTAACCCTTGAGAGGAACAGGGGTCCTCAGCTAATTGTACTAGTCTGAAAAAAAGAAAAAAGAAAATAGGTGGATGAGCTGCAGAGGCCAAAAGAGAAAAAGAAAAAGCGATTTACTTTTGTATTTGGTGCTAAATACTTACTAGTACAACCTTGGCTGTTATTGAAATTATTTTCAGATTTGTTCTGAAAATCAGAACAGAATTAAGAAGTGGTGCAAATGCCAAAAACGCACATATGGAAAAGCAATAAAACAATTTCCGCCCTAACCCTCATTGCCAGTAGGTGGCGCAAGTGTTGCAGGTGCAGCAGGTGTTACCTTCCTGGCCTGTAGGTGATGTACAGGTAGTGAATGAGTGGGTGTGTGGGTTCAAGTTCATGAATGACTTAAAGGAGCTATTTGTAAATTTTGCTATCGCTAGATAGCCAACGTTAGCGTGAACAGCTGTTTACTTACCAGTCTAGAAGAAACGTGAGTTCAGCATCAAACTTTATTCCTTTACTCACCAGCGGTTGTCTCCAGCTACGTTTTTCTTCTACTGCAGTTAGCATGCTAACCAGCTTTCCAATACTGAGCCACTGTAGCGTCCAGTCTGCCCTGAAGAAGTAGCTGCTCAGAGGGCGTGTCATTACCTCTTGTGTTGTAAAAACAACGACGGATGAGGCTCTTGGCACGACTGGTAAGTAGACAGCTGGTAATGCTAACGTTAGCAATGTAGCAATAGCAAAAACTTAATAAAAGCTCCTTCAAAGATGCAAAACGTCAGACTAAAAACGGTGTCTCTCTTCTACAGGGTGCCCGGTAGATCCGAGCAGGAGGAGGGCAGCAGCCGTGACGATGTCGTCTCATCCTCACATCATCACACCTCGAGAAGTCACCAGCAGCTTCAGAGGAGGAAGTCTGTCCTCCAGAAACATCCTCCAACTCAACGGTAAGCACTTTAATCCTCGGCCCAGTGAGTCCTGCCTGTTTATCCTCTAACGTATCAATTGACTTCACTTTCACTCTCTATGCAGTTTCAGGCTTTTCTCCACTTACCTGTCGGTGCACTGTATGTTTGAGCACACGTGTGTGTGTGTGTATTTTTCACCATGGGGTAATTAGTGTCTTTCAGTTGGGCGGTGACCATGCTCCTTCCTTGATCAGCTCAACCAGATCCATTTCACATTCTGTCTGTTGGCTGCACCACTGAACCACTCAATTTTCAGCCTAATTGAGCTTGCAGAGGCATCTCTGGTGGCTTGCCACAGTCCTGTTTGTATTTTCTGTGTGTGTGCGTGTGCGTGTGCGTATGCGTGTGTATGTGTGGGTGCGTGCAGTCCAAGCAGAGGCACACACATACACCGGGGAAACCAATTTTTTCCTCAATTAGACAAGCCGTTGCCAGTCAACTGGTGTATATATTCTTAACTTTGTCCTCAAATGTGGACTAGGACTGAAACAACACACACACACACACACACACACACACACACACACACACACACACACACACAGAGATAAGTTAAGGTATCAGATAAGAAAGAGTGGATGAAAACAAGCAGATAATTGCTGATGATGATATAAAGCAGGTCTGACAGGTCTATAATTACATTATGCTCTGAGGAGAGAGTATAGAAGTGCTGTGTAATTATATTTCACAAACATTTGTTCATGGCACACTACATACTAAAACACTGATGAACACCATGTGTCAACATATACTGTATAAAACATGTTTACAAATGAATTCATGCATAGGTTCACTCCAAATGTTATTCCCCCAACGGCCGCAATCATTTATTCACAGCTCTTGTTACTGTGCAAACACGGTCTGTTCACTGTTTGCTTTGTTTCTTACCTGCCTCACCGTCCCACCCTCCACCTCCTCCACTACTGTTGTCTCTCTTACACACCGAACCCTGTGTGTGTGTGTGTGTGTGTGTGTGTGTGTGTGTGTGTGTGTGTGTGTGTGTGTGTGTGTGTGTGTGTGTGCGTGCGTGCGTGCGTGCAGTCACACTCCTGTCCCACTCCTTTCTGCCTGTGGCTTTGAGGAAGTGGTGTAGCTGGACAGTATCTGGTTAGGTGACTGTCAGTCGACCCAGTGACTCTCTGATAAGGACACTTGGGAGAAATGTCCAGGGATTAAGAGTTACACTGGGAGAGGAAAACAGAGAGAGAAGTGAATATCCAGTTTATGTGAAGGCACAAAATTCAATTTAGGAATGTCCTCCCGCAGGTAGGTCATCGGCCCGGGTATCATCGCTTAATCCGTAAATAATTTGTTTTTTAAAAACAAAGAAACGTAAATCTGTTATTTGTTTCAAAACCGAAATGTAAAAAAGTTTGTGGTGTCAGAATCAAACAAAGGAAAAACCAAACAAAACGAACAAAACCTTTTATCATTATTGAGTAACTTGGTTTGATTTGATTTTTTTTTCTAAACCCATAACTAAATCTTTCCTGACAGAAAGAGGAAGTGAAGTGTCAGAAAGTCAAAATAAAAGCCAAGAGGACATAACAGTGTGATATTAAGCAAGCAAACGATCTATACCAAGGTAATGAATGAATACATACAGTAAATGCATACATTGACTACAGGATGGAAAAAAACAAAAACTGACCATTTTGATTGTTTTCTTTTGTTGTTGTTGTTGTTGTTGTTGTTGTTGTTGTTGTTGTTGTTGTTGTTGTTGTTGTTGTTTTATTCTGACACCAAAAAATTTTTATTTCTTTTTTGGTTTTGAAACAGATTTAAAAATTTTTTGTTTTTGAATTATAAATGAATGATGGATTATCTGATGATACCCGGTTTGTCCAAAAATCTATCTCAAGATCAATTTCCTCCATAACTATACATTTAATGAAACACATTGTTTTTATACGTCTGTTTCCTTTTCACACATTCGGTTTGTTCTGTTAAATTACAGTGTGACAGATAGAGTAGTTACAGATCGGGGCTGTTTTCTGATTGGTCCTTGTTGCTTGTTCTCAGCCCAGAAAGCTCGACTCACTGCAGCTAAAGAAAACTCCTGCAGAGAGAAGAAAACCCAGTTCCCACTTTGTCAAAACATACATCACGTTTAAAACAATGCTAATAAGTAAAATACAAGTAAATTATAAGACATTAAGAAAAGCACTGAGCTCTTAGCCGGTGATATTTATTGAAAATTGCCATATGAGTAGGACCGGCTGTTGTTTGAAAGGTTGGTGTTAAATGTTTGTGTTTGCTTTTATTACAAGACCTTAACGATTCGTTATTAGCTTAAGCAGCACAGTGTTGTTGTGTAAAAGGCACCAGGACTCAGCGGAGAAAACAGATGCTACTGATGATACTTTTTATTGCACTCGCAGTAAAGTTCAGTAACTCCAGTAATCTTCAGTATCTTTACTTCACCTGGTTCTGTGTCCAGAGACAGAGACAGAGAAGCAGTCCGACCGTAAACGATAAATACAAAATAAATATATATATTATCAGGCAATTGTTATATTTTACCAATAAAAAAAAAGGTAGCAAATACGCTGCGGCCCAGTTCCGGTCCACGGCCCAGGGGTTGGGGACCACTGGTCTAAATATAAGCAGCTGCACAACAACTTTTCCTGATCCAAGAATAATCCCTCGGCTTTTTGATACAGTGCCACAGACACATTTTGGTCAGCACTAAAAAAGTATTAAGGTTCTAGACCAGGCCATAAATTTCGTTTTTGTAAAAGATTCATACTGTCTGTAATTTGATCAATTTGGTTCAAGCCTCATGTCTCTTTTTTTTTTTTTTTTTTTTTTATCTCTCTATCTCCCCATCTCTCTCATCCTCAATTCACTAACGCACAACTCCCCCTTTTTTCCTCTGCTGCTCATTTCTGTTAAAGATTTGTGGCCACTTGCAGCCGGCGCGGGTTTATCTTCCCACATGCTGCAACACACACTCCATCACATGGCTGCAGACTGCATGGAGGAGGAGTAAAGCCGTTTTCAAATATCAGAAATATGATTTGGGGAGCTCTGAGTTTTAAGTTTGTTAATGTGTGATTGTTGTTCAAAGTGCAGGATTAGGCAAATTCTCTTGTCAAAGCCTTCAAAGAACACGGGTAATTTGCATGATCCAGTCCAAATGAGGTTGGATTATTTGGTGACGGGTAGATGAATCGGGGGTTTTCATTAGGTATTTTGGTGTTTGCGGAGGATAGCAGCGGAGGTGAAAGATACATTTTGGAGGAGGGGGCTTTGGCCCAGTTGTTTTACTGGACTGTTGTCTATGTACAAGCTGTTGGTTCTTGTGCTCCAACAATACTTAAATCAGTCAGCGCCTCTCTCCCTTGGACATTTGGAGGGTTTTTAGAACATATGGTCAAAATGGCAAAGAGATTAGATTCCACTCTGTTCAGTAAATATATTCATGATGGCAGCCTGTCTCCCCTTCACAGCGAGGAACACAGCACAGGCGCGCCGGCTGGAGATGGATGGGGATCGCGTGCCATTGTTCAGACGCGGGATCAGACCTGACAACTTCGCGCCCGGAGTGCACAGCTCTCTAAACGAGCCCGACGGTGGGCGCCGCAAGTTCAACTGCATGGCCGCCGTGCATCAGCGGGAGGGCAGAGAAGGTGTTAAAGCAGCTAAGGTCACGGTGAGGTCAATCTTTGCACTTTGAGCCTATGGGGAGCCAGAGAAAAAAAAAGAAGAAATCCTTATCTCTAAAGCTGAGACCACAAGAGTGTTTCCCTTTGTGTCCTCCTCACTTCAATCTCAAACACACAACAGAGGAGGAGCAACAGCTTCTATTCTGGTCATGAGAGAGCCGTCATGGAGGCGTGGAGCTCCTCGCAGCAGCACGCCGCTGTTACAATTCACAAGGCGATGTGCCCTTCACCCCTCTGTGTTTTACCGACTGTAGGAGAAGGTGTTAATTGTTCTTCTACCTGAAGGCACATCTTGTACTTTCACCCATGGATGCACATGCTAAATATGATTTTGGCTGCGGTGCATGTCTGTCTCAGACACTTTACACATTGCATTTCCTCCCTCACAGCCAATACTATGTGGAGTTAAACTGAGTCTTGCCTTGCACAGGAGAAAACATTTTTTGAGTTGCTTTGCAATTCAATTTGGATTTGACTTTTCTGGGCTGATAGCCATGACTTAATTTGGACCAGGTTTATCCCCAGCATAATTTCAGTGAGCTAGACCTGTGGAAAACCTCAATTTTTTTATTTTTCCACTCACTTAGCTTTACCACCCTGATTTTGAAACTCAATTTGAGGTGTCTAATTTATTTTTACTGGCCAGAATCCCTGTCATCATGCAGTTTATTGTACTCTTTAATATTAAAAGGATGAGTCCAACAGATGTCCACGAGTCCAGGTTCATGGATTCAAGTTTAGTTGGATCGTTTGTCAGAGGCTGTAAGACCGTCTTAAAACACACACCCGCCTTTTCTGTTGCACCATCTGCTTTGGAGCTGTGCTGCACAAACCTAATGCGAGAAAACATTGTATGTTGTATTGAATCCTTTCCCAAACACCTGTTCTCAGGGCTCCAGGGTTGATAGATGAAATAATATAATTGTCTGAAAGGTTTGGAAAAGGTCATTTCATGTTCACAGCACTTGACCATGAATGAGAAGTGTGTAACATTAAGTTTACTCCACCATGTTCCAACTATAACATGCGATCAGAATGCAGCTATGGGTGGATTGGTAATGAGGAAAGTGCCTTAGAGTAGTTTCTTAAATGTCATGGAGAAAATTATGGTGTATTTTCTTTTGGCCTTTGTTTCTATCCATAGGCTCATAGAGCTCTAGCCCCTGGATGTTTTCTCCAAAAGCCCAGAATCTTTCATAAAGTTTATGATATATATATATATATTATTATAAGTTATAATAAAAATTCAACTTGGTGTCATTTCCCCTCAGTCTCTCTGAATGCAGCTCTTTTAGCTGCGGGGAAAATATCGTCATCTATGGGTTGCCCAACAACTAGTGGAGCTTCCGTAAAACGTGATGGTTTCATTTTTCGGCCCCTTAAATTTGTTTAAACCTGCGAATGTCTGGCTCCGCCCCTGTTTTGCTCACTTACAGTAACACTGTGTTAACCATTTTTTAAATGAGTCAACAGTTCAGTTAATACAGGTATAACTGTATATACCATTCAAATCTGTGTGTGTGCAAACTACAGCAAGTCCGGCCGGTCAAAATTGAAGCAGGAAGTCACTAGATAAACTGTGATGGATGTTTCCAATCAACACTTAACAAAACGATATGATGTTGTGTTGCCCGGTGTTACAATGGAACATCTTGTCATGTCTTTGTCTCTGTTCCTGGGTGTTAGGATGAGACGAAGGAAGCCCAGCTGGCCGGAGAACTTCTTCAGATCAAACCCAGTGAAGAGCGCAGCAAGGCGGAGAGCATTGCCAACATGCTGAGCCAGGCCATCACCACGCAGCACCTCCTCTACGCCAGCCTGGGCTCCGCCGAGTACATGGAGTTTGTCCTCAAAAACCCCTTTAATGTCCCTCAGACCGTCACCATCCACTGTGATGACCCTGAGCTCAGGTAAGACTCATATTCTCCACTGACAAAGAGGAACTTAGTCGTGTGCTTCATCTCTAAAACTGTATTTTACAAGTTTATAATTGTGTTCCAGACCTAACACACCAACTGTGCATGTGTTTCTGTACTGTGTGTGTGTGTGTGTGTGTGTGTGTGTGTGTGTGTGTGTGTGTGTGTGTGTGTGTGTGTGTGTGTGTGTGAAGCTCTGGAGATAGTTCTTAGAACCTATTTTCATCCTGCTTCAGGAAATGATGCTGCGTCCTCACGCTGAACTGTCCCTAATGTCAGACACAACCAGTCCAGAGGATCTGTGATAGTTGAGCCCTCCACTCCTGTTCCTCAGAATTATTCACCACCAGTCTTGGCATCAGGAGGTGCCTACAACACCTTGTCAATACAAAAGACTTAACAGCAGAGGGCCGTAAAGCAACATGATACTGGATATGACCCATCGTTAATGACCCTCTGAAAAAACCCAGTGTTTCACCTCGTTAACGTCCACATAATTTTTATATAATACAGACACATGATGAGTGAAATAATCATCAGCACCGTGACTGAGTGTTTCCACCTTGAACTGCAGTGAACCAGTGACAGTCTCATGAACACAGATTCAGGGTTTCATATGTCACAAACCTAAGGAACCAATCCTGTCAACCTGTGGGGACAGGGGGCGGGGCTAAATACACCTGAAACCTTGTCAGTGCAGAGAGAGAGTGTTAGCATTAGCACAACCACTAACACTATGTCAGCCACCGCCAGTTACAAGCTAACAAACAACATAAACAAATAAAAGATGCTAACGATGCTAACCGTTCTGGCCCGTCTGCTAGTCTCTGGTTCTGGTCTCCACAGACTCCTCCTCTGAGTCTGGGTCTGACTGAGGCTCAAACATGTGGCTGAGTCTCTCTGATGTTTCCTCCACTGACCATCCTGATACTCTCTCCTCTTTCACCTGTCCACCTGGAGCCAGCAGGTGGTGGGCGGGGCTTAAGGCCTGATCCAGGAAGTAAGAGGAGATGAGCTTCAGACCGTTTTTATGTGTGTAAATCACAGCAGAGGATTTTCACAGAGTTTAACACAAGTGGAAGAAGAAAAAAGACGGCCCTTCTCAGTCTCGTCGTCATGGTTTCTAGTCTGTTGTTGGTTCGGTGTATAACAAGTCGTGAGCGGTGTCTCATTCTGTACTGAATCAATTTACTACTAATCATCTAGTTTATAGGAGTTCTGTGAAACTTCGCCTGGTGCTCACGCTGCAGTGACTCAGCACTGCTCATTCATGATGCTGATTCATTCCTTCATATTAGCATTTATCAGCAGGTTATAACATTCATTGCATTTAAAGTAAACCAACGCTCCTTTTATTCTTTTATACCAGTATTTTTCTTGCTGTGACAAAATGTCAAAATGTCTCTTGAGAGAAATAATAAACACGAGGTTTTCAGACCACGGACGATTAAATCTCAATGAGCCGGTTAAACACTGTTGTTCAAGGATGCAGTTTGTGTTTCTTTAAGTGACACCTGCGTGGCTCAGTTGTACAGAACTGACGGGTCACGGTGCGAAGATTTTTTTTTTTTTTTTTTTTTTTTCTGAAGGGACCTTTGCGTTCCCCTCGCAGTGTGTTGGTGGAGTTATAATACACTGGCACTTCAGGGAACCCCCCTGCAAATACTACATGAAGGAGAGAGATGACGCAACACTTTACATTATGTATTTATTGCTCATTACTCCTTTCAAAAGGTCGAGCTCCGACAGCAGACAGCCACCGTCTGTGAGCAGAGCTGCAGCTGTGAGGGATACAGCTGTGGCTGTGGATGGGTGGGGTTAATGCTTGGACTACATCTGCATTTGTGGATGATCATATATGTTGCTATGGATATGGCCACGGTAGCTGTGCTGTGTGAGTTCAGGAATACAGCATCTTCCGTATGACACTCAGCCGGCACATCCGTGTCAGTGCACCGCACATATATAATCCCAGCATGAAGTTTACACACATATATCTGTGGCTGTGTCCCGATTCAACTAGACCGTCCCATTTCGAAAGGCTCCTTCAAGTGTCCTGGGCCATCTTTTCGTGGTTCGACATATCCCTAGATTCATTGCGTGCTGGTAATGAAAGCAAACAACAGAGACCAGAGAGCCTGAGGATCACACTGTTAAATGTCAGTCTTTCGTTTCAGCTCAGTTCAACAGCGAACGGTACAACTGTTAAAACCAAGAGACTTAAAACCTGAAGTTTCTGTGAAAAAAAAAAAAGAGTTAGGTGTTGTCAAGGTTGCTAGGCGACAGGAGTCGGGCTCCAGTATCTAGCTGCTGGTACTGACTTTAAACTGAGCCAACCACAGCTGAGGGTGCAACTGGTGCTGAGGTCACAACCAGCGGTGATCTAATACATAAAACATACTACTATATTATGATGCAGCTCAGCCTTTCTCTAAGGATCGAAGGTGATGCTAAACGTACTGTGAGGTGACACGAAACTTATTTCCACTGGGGGCTTCATATTGTTGCATTGAAACACTGATGGATTTTATTTTATTAACAATTTACTAGAAAAAAAAACATTTCAGCTATACTTTCACATCACCAGGTGATTTAAACAAACCTTTTTTAACAGCATCAGGAAACATCACAGACCAACAGCATCTCGGAAAAAGACCACCAACACAAAACCGTGAAGTGATTTCATGAAGATGTTTTTTATTCAGGTTGTGGGAGTCTGATTCACAGCTCGCTCACTGTTTTGACATGATGCATGCGTGTGTAGGTGTGTACTGATATGTGTGTGTTTGCATGTGTACCTCTTGTAGGGTTTGAAATTGGTTTTATTTACTGTGTTGACACGTCTTGCTTGCATATAGTAGGTGCATTATTTAGTCTTTGAATTTTCCACTTTGACGCGGCACATTATGTACGCGTACGTTTACGCTTTACACGTTTTTAATTTTGTTCACAGTTTTGAGACATGTGTGCATTTTTATTTATGAATGAAGAAGATAAATTATTAGTCTTTTCAGCACAAATCGCAGCCACATTTCCAAACACATTTTGTGTGGCTGCATTATCAAACTCTGAGTTTTTCAGCTCTGCCGGCACCATTTCATAACATTTCACACACATACAGAGAAGAGTCTGACTCCTTGAGCAGCACAAACAGGTTGTCCTTGACACAGATGCAGACATAATGCTGGTGAGATGCTAAATGTCCCCTTTAATCCACACACAGCAGCCATTATGGCGGATGTTTCCTGGATCACCCGCTCCTGGTATCCATGCCGTGTTTGTTTGTGTTTGTTGTTAATCCCTTCGCACTAAGTCTTTTGTTATGGATTCTGCTCATGCCTGAGCTTTGGATTAACATATATCACGTTGATCAACAAAGGCTGGAGTGCGCTGTGGATGAATCATTATGGCATTAGCCCAGCCACCGGGCCTACCAGGTCTAATTGAGAGTCATCAATCCCCGCATCTGTCCTCTGGCCGGCTTAGTGCCCTGCTAGTTTATTTATTTATTTCCCGATGAGGCGGCCTGACACCAAACCGTCTGCCACCTCTACCAAGAGCCAGAGATGTGTAAATTGACAAGGAAGCTTCTGCATCCGATGTGTCTCTGCTGCAGCACCGAGGCTTTTAACGATCAAACTCGAGTAACCCAGTTAGAAAGAGACGGTCCACGAAGCACAGCAGGGCCCAGACTACTTGTTACTTGTCCTTGTTTTTTTTTGTGGGTTTTTTATTTTTTGGAAACTTGAATGTTGCTCTTCACTCTGATTCAGTGATGGAGGCCTGAGTGTGTGATCAATCCGCTCTCTGAACCACTTTGTACTCTGCTTGGTTTTTATGTCTCCACGCCATCAACAGTCGGAGCTGGAGGCGTGTTGCTTTCAGGCTGTACGTCCGTCCCGTTCTCACTACAGGATGAACTGATTAGATTTTGGTGGCACTTTGAAGCCATAATAAAGACACAAATGGTTAATATTGTATACGACTCTGGATCAACAGGGATGTAATCTGAAACTAGTCTGAGTGGCGGAGGCAGAGGTGATGGAGGAGGTGATTCTACTTGTTTTCTGTAAGCTGCCGTTTTAGGATGACAAGTAGTTGTTAGAAGCTGCATCTGAAAGACGGTTATGTTTCTGCAGTAATGCATGTTAATGCCAGACTTTATCATTTAGCTATGACAGGTATGGTAGTGATACCGAGGTTTGGAGGAGACTTCTTTGTTTCAGCACGAACAATAGTCTCCTGTACGCCGACACACCGGTGCACAAAAGCACCAAACGCTCAAACTGACAGAGGAATCTCTCCGGGGGGAAAAGGACAGTTACAGTTACTGAGAAAGAAGTGACTGAATCTGAATCCTAGAAGGTATTTGTACTTGTGCTTGTGTTTTACACTGCCAACAAAACCTGCCCCTGAACCTCAGTTGTCCTGGACTGAGTGATCGGTCCTCGGTCAGTCGGAGGTCACTCTGCTGTAACTTACCCCTCAATATTTCAACCAATATTTGACGAGGAACTCTGAGATCTTGACAGCATAAACAAGGCCTTGGGTCAGCTCTTTGTTGTACAGGAACCAAAAGAAAAGAGTGTGCCCCCACCCCACCCCCCCAACCTCAGGCTTTGAAGGCAGAGTACTTAGCCAGAGTTTAGCCGAGCTGTGGCTTTGATGTCTGCAGTGGTGCAGAGCCCAGAGGCTCCTCTCCACGAGGAGGACACGTTTGCTACCTGTTGCCATCCGTTTTGCATGGCTACCTTTTACACTCGGCCTCACGGTGCCCAGTGTGAGCGATGGCTGCTGGCTAGCCCAGAGATGGGAGACTGTGCAGCTCCTCTGCTGCTTTCTCTCCCATCATTTTTCCCTCTCACATTATCTGCCCCCCCCCCCCCCGAATCCATTCACTTCTCTCTCTTGATATCCTTTTTATCATCTTTATTTCATTCCTTCTCTTCTCTCTTTTTGCTCTATTTGTCTCAATCTGTTTATCCTTTGCACTTCCTACGTTGTTCTACTTTCATTCCATGAAAATGAATCAGCCGATGGTTTCTCATGGAGGCTGGGGTGAAATGTCCGCACACAGACAGTCTTTGTTGTCGCGATAAGCCACAGGCAAAGTGTTTTATTCCAAATGCACAGGTGGGAATCTCCAAATAAATTTAATGGAATTGACTGTTGCATCTCGTACTAATGTCAGTGAGGTGGCGCCCTGAGAAAAAGTGTCGCTCCCCTATTGAGAGAAATTCACCTCCTCACGCCTCGTGTGTTGGAACCTTTTGAAGTTTAAAGCGGCACTTCCTTTTATGCATTTGTGCGTGAAATTTTTTTGCATTCAAAGGAAGCAGAAGGAGCAGAGACGAGACCTCCCTCCGCCGGAGCGTGTTATCTGTTCCTGTTGCTTTCTCCCCGGAAATCCATTCGTTGGGGTTTGTAGTGAGGCTTTCACTGACCTCTGCACGCCTTCATGAAAAGCCCCTGACGCTAATTAAAAAGGAAAGCATTATGTTTGGACTGTTGACTGATCGACCTTGGAATTTAGCTCAAATTGGATGTTGACCACGCAGTGAACTTTTGCTTGTTCTGACCCTCCCATTGGACGAATGGGACGAATGGGAGGGTCAGTATTGTTTGTTGTTTGTTTGTTTGTCTTCACTAAAGGGAAAATGTGTTGTTTTAGATGTGTTGCTGGATGCCTTTGAGAGCGTAGATCCAGGATGTAGGGAGTATTTACCACAGTCTAGTGAATGATACCACACAGCTCCTAGTAATCATGATTTTATTCTAAAGAGGGTGGAAAAATGTCTGAGAGTGAGTTCAGAAGATCAGTGTCACGTCTCATGTCACTTAAGTTTTCTTAAATCTAATTAGAGCTTTTCTTTCATCTAACTCACACACAACCACCTGTAGCATTTCAGAATTCACCCACTACATCTCACTGACGTTTGCACAGCAATAAATGACATTACATAACATTTGTTCTGAAACTTTATAGTGCTTTAACAAAGCGGACTTGTTGACGGGCAGAAGTTATCACCAAAGATCTCCCCAGCCTGCTATTGATTTATTTTCTTTGGAGTTCTTTGTGATCCTGTCAAACTGAATGAACTGAGATCAGAGATGTCGATTAGGTGAATTGTCAGCGGCAGAATATTTCAGCGACTACAGGCTCCAGATCCGCAGGGTTTTCTTGCAGATATTCATGTCGAACAGAGGGTGACCCAGCGACGCTACCATCAGAGTAAAATCCCTGCTCTCCGGATGATGAACCATTTCCATTTTTTTCACGCTCACTTAGTTTTTCTGCAGCTCCAAACTCAAGACCAAATGACTCCTATTACACTGTAGCTTTTACATAATTGAATATCCAGGTTTCCATTAAATTTAATGAGCAAATCCATGTTGGTGAGATGAAACTCATTTGATTTTAATGACCTCGTGAACTTTTTCTGTGCCACCGACGTCTGCATTCATCTCTGTGCTTCTTAACCAAGACTTGAAGAAAAGCAAAAAAAAAAACCTTCAGTGTGTTGTTCGTTCTGTTCAACACCATCTCACCACAGGACCTAATGAACATTTCAGTGTCCCGCTACGCAGGTTTAACCTTTTATTCTTGATTGTGTAACAAGTCCGATTCTGATTCCGGATGGATCCTTTAAAGATATAAGAGCCAGCTTTCATCTCACCCGTGCCTTTAATCTTTCCATCCAGTGTCATCACCAGCACAGAGGAGTGGCATTACTTCAAAGCGCTAACCAGAAGTCCGACTCCACTGGAGGAGAATATGTTCCACCTGGAGGAGGGTGCTCCGGGTCCCAGGGTTTACCTCCGGCCCAAAGAGAGCGTCCACATTCCCTTGAAGTACCAGAGCTTCCTGTGCGACCACACCATGGCCCTTCAGGTATCTTTGTATCTTTGCAGTCAGATTAGAAAGGTTGGTTTGAGTTCTTGGAGAGAGTCGGCACATCTTCCCCCTCTCTCCTCCTTCTCCACAATATCACACCACTTGACAAGTCTACGTATTGATTCCGGTTCAGGGAAAATCTTTTCAAATTGATTCGCTCTGTGGTGTGAAGGTGTGTTTTTGGTGCGAGAAGCCCGTGGGAAGAAGAGATGAAGCGGGTACAAAAGTTGAAATTTCATTGATGTAAATGTCACTTTACCTCAAGGATTATTAACCGTAGTTGATCTATTCGAAGGGCAAGTTATACAGATGGAATGGTAACTCAGGCTTGACAGGTAATTTGATGCCAGAAGGACAGTTTGATATAAATGTCACTTACACAGGCTGTGGCCTTATCTCCTGTGGACAACTGTGATTTTATGCCCTTTGATTCTCTTCTGCTTCTTTGTGATCATTTGCAGTTTCCTGGCCTGATGTATAGATGTAATATTTTCTCTGCAGTCATATGTGTCGTTTTGTTTTTGTTTTGTTTTTTGGTAGATGTTCAGTTCAGATAAACATTCGGTTTCTTATCAAATCCTCACAGGGGCCGAGCTTCTTACCTGCAGGCAAAGGTTCTCAGGTGGCCAAGAAGAATCTGTCCAACATTGTTGCTGCCAAAACTATCAAGGTACAGAGTGTGCTACTTACGCTTCGCACAATGTTTTCTGTGTATTGGACCATCTCTCTCTCCATCTAAAGTCCTCTGCCTCCTAATCCCTGATTTGTTTGTCTCCAGGCTGGAATTATAGCAAGATATGGATTTGAGCTGCAATCTGGATGTACAGTATGTTTTCCTGCCGTGATAAGAGCTGTAATGTAGTCCAACATTTTTAGCGTCTTAATGTATATGCCTTTATAATTTGATTATTAGATTCAGCAGAGCAGAGGAAGATAAAACCTGAGCTCAGTGTGCAGCACGCAGCTTTTGATTCGGGGGTTAACCTCCTGCCACATCCCTAAGTCTAACAACATCTAGTGTACAAGCACAATCCCAGACAACTCTCTGCGGAGTGGCAGAGCGCCGCCTCCTCCCTCCTCTCCTCTCCCACACAGTCACAGCTCAGACACAAAGAACACTTTGAAGTGTCAACTATTTAAAAAGTTACACTAGGCAGACGAGATTGTCAAGCAAAGTGATATGCTGCAAACCGCTTTTATCTTACTGAACCTTGTTTATCTTCTCCAATTGGCAAATGTCAGGATGGAGAGTTAAACTATCTGCTGATTGGAGGACAGCTTGACACGTCTGGCTACTCTACTTTACATGAACGGCGCAAGCACCGCATAACTCTCAAGTTATTTTCCCACTTTCAGCGTTTATTTGACCGTCTATGAATATGTCAGAAGTTTACAAGAGAGAGAAACGACGTGAACGTGCTTGTTCTGATTTACTGTAGATAAAACAATGAGCTCTATAGCTGCAGGTGATGTAATGTGCAGTCCCTATACAGCTGCAGCTGTCACCAAAATAAACTTCTCTCTGCAGATGCGAGCTTCAGTCGATGCTTACATTATTGGCACGTGGCTTTATGCTGCTGAAAACAAGATATCCATCAGTGCTCGCCAGTACCTCGCCATAATCCTGTTGTTTGTGTAGAGTACAGAACCCCGAAGCTCTCCCATTGCACAGGGTGATGAAATATTTGCCAGTCTGCCAAGCGTGCGTGTGTCTGCCTACATTTTTTGTGTATTAGTGTGTCAGTGTCAGCACTGCTGCTCTGAGCAAAAATCCTGTCAAGAGGTCAAAGAGGTCAGGTCTGGATCAAATCTGTGTCCCGCTAAAGCTGACAAGCCCCAACAGCAGAGCTGTCAGGATGCCAGCTTTGGCACCGCTGTCAGTCAGCACCCATCACCAGAGCCAGATATGGGCCACTCCTGCAGGTCAGCATGGGCCCGCAAATCTCACACATCAACCGTTTTGGACAGCTGCTGTTTGGCAGGGATCAGCTTCTGTGAGTGTGTGAATCAATGACCAAAATATGGAAAGGTCACTTCAGAGCATTCTTCACTTCTCATGACTGGATATTTTAATCCGTTCAGGCAGTTAAACTTTACTTTGTATTGTAGCTCTGAACAGAATTAAACTGTGTCTATTTTTGATAAATGAATGTAAGAAATAATGGTGTAACCCTCTGCGGTGGGATGGAGTTTGTAGTGTGTGGACACCTGAACATTAGAGCCATACAGAATGTGGCCTGAACGAGCTGCTCTACCAGCCTCCTCTCCCCCTGGGAAGCCTCTCCTTAAGATTTCGGTGCCTCGCTGCAGGGATTTGCTCCCACTAAGCCACGGCTGCATTATAGTGCTTGAAGTCAGCCACTAATGTTGAGAGATAAGGCTCAAAGTTCGGTGTCACTGTTCATTCCAAAGGTGCTGGATAAGGTAAAAGTCATGACCCAGCACGAACTCCTTCAACAGCAGAAAAAAACATTTATATATACAGTATATATAAACCACAATATGTTCACATTGTTTTTATGATGTTGGAGATGCTGTCATTTACGTTATTGAAATGAACACCTGGTTTGTCTGCACCTTACCACTCAGCACAGCAGTGATCGGAAAACAGTTTTCTACAATGTAATCTGATTATTTTGCCGTGGCAACATGACACTTTATAACCAAGTTTAAAGCCCCGAGAGGACGGCACGTACAGTCATGTCTTTGCGTCCTCTAGAGAACATGTAGCTTAAAACTCTGAAGTTTGTTCTAATGGTGGCACTAGAATAAAAGCCTCGAGGTCGTCCCAGATATGTGAATTTAATGGCGACGTGTCATTTAGATGATCAGGTGATCTGTGTGAAAAGTTGAGTTTTGATTGACATAAGAGGAAAGTGCATGAATGTGCTCAATCAATTTCATGGGAATCTGCCCAGTGCATATTTGTACAAGTGGAAATTCTGGCCTGACCGTGGCATTCTGGGAAAGGCAGTGGATCAAGTAAAACATAAGGGCTCGTCCATTAGGGACCTGAACATTCACAGCAGATTTCTTGTGAATCAGTCCGTGAAATTTCTTGGTAACCTTGTCTTGGACTAAAGTGTTGGTCACAGGGAAATTCTGACCTGACGGTGGCTTCGGACGTGAAGTCAGCAGCTCAACCTGAAACATCTCCCGCAAAGTTCATGACAATGTGTTTGGAATTGGATCCGAATGAAGCGTGTGACCCAGACAAACTCACATCGTCAAGTCATACCGCAAAACCTGTGTGTTCCTCTGATTTGTTATGGTTTGAAATAGTCAATGAATAATTCATTAACATTGCTATCCTGCGGTTCAGTCATATGTAATCTATAATTCCTGAACTCCACTTCAGTTATGCAGAGCATGAAGTCATTCAAATCAAGGCGGCGAGCACCAGTTTGAGATGATGGAGTAGAGTATGATGGTACGTGAGAGGGTTGGCAATCCCAGTGTGTTTGCATATTTTGGCATATGTGTGTATACCACTTATCGTATGTAATTAGTGCATGTGTGTGAAGACAGATCCTCTGGGCTGTTTCAATGCAGCAAACTTCAAAGCACACTCAGCAGCTCTGTGGGGGTTTCAGCAGTCTGAGGCCAGTTTTTATATTCCAGTGTACAGTGTACAGCTTCTATCATCATCATCATCATCATCATCATCTGTGAATGTTTGAATAAAACTTCTTTAAGAGTGTTTTTAAAAAAAAAAAAAAAAAAAAAAAAAGAAGAAGCTTTATATGTTATTTAGAGCTGAACTGCCTCAGGAAGAAAACACAAAGTTCCACTTCTGCATTTCACTAAAGAGAGTCCAGGAATTACAATGTGGGTGTTTTCTAAATGTCTAATGACACAGGAACATTGTCTGTATTGTTGTGTCCTGTTTTAAGGTCTCACACACACACACACACACACACACACACACACACACACACACACACACACACACACACAGAAAGCAGGAAAGAAAGTGCAGATGAACTAATTAATTTAGTTGGTGCCAGACAACAACACAGCGTTTACATGACCTGCCTCACACTGCCTTAAAAAAAAAAAAAAAAAAAAATCCAATTATTACAACGTTGGTCTTATTTTAATTATTGTTTGTATCTGTAAAAAAATAAATTAAGTGTAATCATCAAGTTCATTGCTGAGATCCAGGAATATTGCAAAATCACTAACATGAAGTCCAATGGTGCACGAGCAACTCTTCAGGTTTCAAACAAGTCTCTGCTCGCTCTCAGACTCACCTTCGAGTGGTTTAGATCAGTGTTTCTGCCTGGGGGTCTGGATCTGGATCTGGATCTGGACTGGCTAAGGGATCCAAAGATAGAAGAAAAATAGAAAAATAAAAATATATATTTCTGCTGGACAGAATTAGTTTTTCTGAATTTTCTCTAAATTTAGCTTTTTTTGCTGGAACACTGGAAACTTCCTTTAAAACATCCAAATCTGACTCTGCTCACACTCCTCATAGCTCACAGTGTCACGGCCACAGCTTGTCACAATATTGATCATTAAAGAATATAATTTTGACAATCTGATACGCTGTCAGATTTGTTGCAGTGATGTCACCGTGTTCCCAGATCTGAGCAGCTACACTTAAAGAACTGATATGTCTGATTGTTTGTACGTTTTCCATCTTAAATGAATGGAAGAAGCATTGCAAAAAAATAAAATAAAAGTTGTTATAAACTGTCATTCCCCTTTAAGGAGCTTCTAACGCAGCTATGAATGATTTATCAGTTTGTCTTTCACTGAGGAGTTTCTCTGCATCCTGATGATGTAGATGCTCTTTCTGGGTATGCAGCATCAGTCAGGGGTGGGGGTGGGGGTGGCACGCTGCTGATACTGCCCATTTTCTCTCCACAGGTGACTTTCAAAGCAGAGGACGACAAGCCGATGGCCATCTGCCAGGTGAACGTGGAGCCGACACCCCACGTTGTCGACCAGACTTTCCGACTTTACCACCCCGAGCTCTGCTTCCTGAAGAAGGCCATCCGCCTGCCGCCCTGGCAGGACCCCACAGGTAGTCACGGTTACCCCAGTCATCCCCCATCAGCCATTGCTCCATTGCACTCTCCCTGCACTGTGTCTAGATTGGATGATTTAATTTCTTTTAAAAATTAATTTGCATATTATTGCATTTTTAAAATTGCTTTCACTGACACAGAATAACATATTTATACAACGGGCGGGGGGGGGGGCAGGATGAATAATGTATTCTACTTTCATTTTATTGTATTTTTACTAAAATATCAGCACATACAATCTTACAATATAATACAACTTCAATCACAAAAGAGAGGCTAATAACAACAGAGAGGCGTCTGGAAATAGAGCCGGAAATGAAAAGCAAGAAAATGTGAAACAGATGAAGTGAAGACTATCACCACATGTACAGCACATATGCATGTTTATAAATTATATCACATTAGATGTGTGTTCTTATTTATGTCCGTAAGGTCAGCTGTGTGTGAAAAACGTTCTTCTTATTGTTTGTTTTTGTCGTTGATGGGTTCCTCAGCCGGAGACCCAGACGCCGGAGCCTACATTTCTGTACGCTGCAGTGACCCGAACATCATCTGCCAGACAAGGATGCTGGTGAGGGAATGAATTGTCTTATATGTTCTAATAACCCACATTAATATAAGCAGGGGGATTCATTGCTCCCCTGTCGTCAGTTGCAAGCTGTTCTCACACACAAAAGAATCTCCCCTTACACAATGCCGTACACTTTTAAAGTGCGAACGCAGGGTTTTCTTTTACTGCTGCTGCTTCTTCTGTTTTGTCTTTTCTCTTCTCCTTCCATTTTAACATGGTTCTGCCTTTTGCTCTGGTTCTGCCCAGGTGCCAGGGGAGCCTCAGGATGTGTACTTGAAAGTGCCAGGGAGTCCCAGTCCACACATAAAAATGTTCTTTGTGATGGTTTTCACGTATGTATTATTTACTGAACAGGGATACTTTACACACACACGCGCGCACACACACACACGCTCATGTACAGCTTAGCCTAAAGAAACAGTCTATTTTGGACAAATTAAATTGTTCACAGAGGCTTAATTAATTAACTAATCAGATGGAGGTTTGGTGGTTTTAGTGCCTGAAGTTACAGAACCCTTCCTCTAGTCTCCCAAATCTCCATCTGGATTATGTGTGGGTTTGTTAATATGTCGGACCAACCTTTGCCTCTTATCAAATGTCGGGGATTTATCTTTCAACAGTGAAGTTTAGACTGGTCACATATTTACTGCAGGGCTGAGGACAGATGTATAAAACTCATGTCCACTGAAGACTCTCCCTTAATCAGTCAGTTTCCACCACAAGTGATCAGACGCAGAGAAGAAAGACGAGGAAGAAGAACATCATCAGTTTACTTTAGTCCCAATAAATGAAGTTCAGAGTAAAATGGGACTTTGCATTTGCAGTGATTGTACTAGAGAGTCTTAACAAGGCTCCAACACTGTGATTAATCAATATTAAAATACTAGCAGTTTACAGAATGACTCACAATAAATAATAAGGATATTAAACACCAACACAATTATTTCTGTCTATGAATTGTAAAATTGCTTTTCCCGTGTAAACAGCAAAACTTATACTGATGCTAATGCTCTGTGTGTGTCCTTGAGTTCTGACTAATGTGTCAAATTTATTCTCTGCCTCATAAAACATTTGTAAAGCCAATTTTTTTTTAAACAGTGTTGCTGCCAGTAAGTCGGCAGGAGTGTGGATCCCGTTGCACAAGGTGTAAACAAAACAGGGACCTCCTCATATAAACTGCTACTGGACAGAAACTCCACAGGTCACCTTTAATTGGTTTCTAAGGAGATCTTGATTGGATTCTGCCCCATCAGAGTCATGTATGAATCTGTACAGGAAATGAGCTCAATAACAGGAACACGGCTAACGCTTTGTTCTATAGATAAAACCCACGGTGTCGTCTTCATACTCCTGGACACTGAGGCCATTTGCTTCTCTCACGCTGGAACAATATGATGTATCAATTAGTTTGTGGTAATTTAAGAAAACACAACGTGATTAATAATGTGCCATGTCAGTACAATATAAATTAAAATAATATGGGATTAGTTAAAACTAGTTTTAGACATAGCACTTCTACAGGGCCAGAAAATTGGCTTATGATGCAGGACTAATTAATATTTTATATTATTGATGCAAATCCCCAAACAAATTAGCAAGGAGCCCGAGGCAGTCCCTTTCTTCACCTACACGATAATGACGCTTTGTTTCAAGAAAACACTGTAGAAAATTATGAAAAAAATTACAGGACCTGTTAAATAAAGTATCGCCGGAACACCCACAGCGATTCAGTTTGTACGTTTGTTGCAACATGTAGAAATGTTGAATATGACGTGAAGATTTCCAGCAGCAGCAGCAGCATTAATGATACTGCGTCTGTCCTCAAAAACCCACATCACTTGACGTCTCAACCAAACATCCCTAAATGCTCCTTGAGTGCTGTTGTCGGGGAGCCGGGCCTCACAGCTCTCAGAGTCAGAGTCAGACCACTGAGACTGAATCCCCTCCGTCTCAGCAGCGTGGAGATGATCATGATGATGTTTCTGCTGCCACAGCCGGAGAGCTGCCTTCCTCGTTAGCTTAATTGATCCTGATGATGTTTTTTTTTTTGTTTTTTGTTTTTTTTTTCTCTGCAGTGATAAGTGGATGGCAGCTCCCTCCCAGATCTGGCAGATTTACGTGCATTTCCTGGAGCGGGTGGATGTCAGCTGTGTGACCGGACAGCGGACCTGTCAATCACTGGTGCTGAGGGGAAAGCAGGCTGTTCGCAAGGTCAAATGTTTCTCATCACACCCCACGGAGATCGAGGTACACGCCATCGTGATTCACTGACCTCTACGGTTTTCAAATAATATGTGTAGTAACTTTAAGACGTAACTATTGTCAACATCACGTTCACTCCTGTCTGGACAAGTGGTCTCAGGTCCATGTGTAAATATGTCTGAACACTCGAGCGGCACCAATCAGACCTTCCACCAGCTCTGATCTTGTGTGTGTCGTAACAAGTGGAGGAGAAAATCTGTTTTTTGAGACAAATGGAGAGTGTGAACTGTGAAGTGCAGGAAAAATGACATGGACCGCTGCTCTTTTGGACAGCAGCTGCTCAGTAATTGGCGGAGCATCATGCTGCTTCCAGTCTCTCTGTGTTTGGGTCTGACTGGGCTGACAGGGTTTTTCCTCTTGATTGAATCTGTCTTTAAGAATTGTTTTTTTTTTTTTTATACTTTATACTGAAAACTAATTTATGCTCAATGGGTTCAGGTAGTTTGGATTGGATTTAAGACCCATGAAGAGCTTTAGTATCGATTCTCGATTTGACTCATGACGGCCAGAGACCCAGGAGTTAGATCCAGAATTCACAGCACTGTAGTTACTCACATAACTCTTCAGATCAAGAGGGTGTAAAACGGAGCGATTCTCTTCTACATCTTCAATGCTGCTGGTGGTGCAGTGGTTGGTGCTGTCGCCTCACACCAAGAAGGTTCTGGGACTAATCAGACGGTAGAGCAGTCGCTCCTTCAGTGTGGCGCCAGACACATTCACGTCCACACTGCTGAAAGAATGTGGCCACATGTGGTCCGATCGGATCTCAGACGTGTCCTCGATGCGTCTCGGGAGCGTTCACATCTGAACTTACAGCCGACCACCTGTGATTAAAACCATTTAATAGCAGGTCTGAACAGGGTCCTTCTGTGTGGAGTTGGCATGTTCTCCAAAACACGTCTGACTCAAATGAAAAGCAATGTACTGAGAAAAAGAATCACAAACAGCTCTAATCATCTAAACCTTGACTCTTACATATCTAATGGGACGTTATCAATTTTCAAACTGTAAAATGATTTCATGCAAATTGTTCTCTTTAGCAGCAGGAAACAATGGAAGAGCAACAGCCTCTTTTGTAATAACTCCAGGTTAAGATTCAAGTCATTATCAAGAATGTACAAATGCAGATTGACGGAATAATGGGTCTTTTCATTTGTCACTTCATTTCTTTTTATTAGGTTCCCACATTACTTCATGCAATCATGTCAGATCATGTCGGTACGCAGTTTGACACGATCCCCGAAAAAAAAAAATTAGCAATGGCTGTATGCTCCCTTGAACATCTGAGAATGTGTTCCAGGAGTGTCAGATTGCTCTCCATTTTTAATAGATCGTTTCTTATTCATAACGAGATTCAGGAGAGGAGGGAGTTTGACAATGCTTCTCACTCAGAGCTGCAGTAAAAAGGGCATCGCCTTGTGATGGACTGTCAGAGCCACCGTGTACCATACTGCTCGACCCAAACATGTCTCCCCTGAAGAGAACAGGGTAGTGGCTGAAAAAGTGACAGATGTATTTTTAAAAGATTTCGCCGTATGCATCGGCGGCCTCTTTGATCTGACTCTCGGCAGGTTAGCTCGGCGTGGAATGCATCGGAGGAGTCTTATAAAACAGGATAAAGCTCACCGCCAGAGAATTGCTTTGCTTTTCTCAACAGATTAAAAAGGAGCTGCACAGTAAATCTCATTCTCACATCCCTCTGTCTCTCTGTCACTCTGCTGCCTCTATTTGCTCTCATTTCATTGTCTCCCCCCTCACTTTGCTTCTTTCATTCGCTCTTTCTCACCCACTTTCTCCTGTAATCTGTACACCTCCTTCACCTCCCTCTGACTTTGTTAAACACCTTTTCCCATTAATTCTTCTTTTCTATAACTTTGTTCCCTTCTCTTCTGTACTGTGTAACTCGGTCAACGCCTCTCCTTCCCTTTTATTAATTGTCTCTTACTCGATCTCACAACCCACCCGACATCTCTACACGTCACTGCCAAACCCAATAAACCTTTACCGCTGCCCTCCCACACCTTCCCTGCAGGTGGATCCGGACGGCGTGTTCATTTTGCCTCCCGCAGCCGTGCAGGAGCTGCAGCTGAAGGTGCAGCCGTGGCACGCCGGCAGCCGCTTCCTGTACGTGAACGCGGTGGACGTGGAGAACCAGCGGCTGGTCACCGCCTGGCTACTGTGTCTCAACGTCCACCAGCCCGTGCTGTCCAAGGTAGGAGTCGTTTCTTTAATACTTAGCCTTGAGTGCACATGGATTTAAATATCGTTCAGTTACCCAGAAGAAACCAGTGTTTCCAACTACTGTCAATGCAAAGAAGCTAAAGCTGCTTGAAAAGACGCTAAATGACGTAATACGCCAGTTAGCATGTTCATGACGCCATGGCGCAGTGTTTGCATTCAGCCCAGTTTCACAGCTTTAACATTTGCTTCTCTCCTCCTCCTTTTCCTCACAAATACAGTATTTTAATACAATTCACTTACGTGTTTTTATCTTTCTGTTGTCACGACAATGAAACAAGTCAGAGAACAACCGTCTAACTCACCAACTGTGGGCCTGACTGACAGATTATCAACAGAGTATACATTAAAACTGTGTCTAAGTTCAGTTCAGATTTTTTTATCATCAGTCTTCATTCAGTCCCAGTGTTTTTTAAAATTATTTATTGGCCAACAGTTAGCATAAGCTAGCACAAACTGTGTGTGTGTGTGTGTGTGCGCGCAGGCATTTGAAGTGTGTGTCCCAGTCGGCGGTGGGCGTGGCAGCTCAAGAAAAATCACCTACACCAACCCCTACACCAGCAGCCGCACGTTCCTGCTGCGCTCGGACCATCCGGACCTGCTGCAGTTCAAAGACGATAAATTCCAGGTGAGCGAAGCAGGAAGTCGTGCAGCTCTCTCACTCTCACTGGGAGTAAAATCATTACTTTGATTAACACCCAGACGAAAGGAGGAAGCTTCCTCCTCGGCGACAGCTCGCCTCTTCGATCAGCACAGGTGGTTTCATGGGATTAAGGGTGACTGTGTTGGTACCAGTCTGTAAAGTATTTCATGAACAGCTTTAATGGAAAGTGCTGCTGATCAATGGTAAAATTTATTATTTTTATTTTATTTTATTATTTTTATTAGTTATTTTAATTTAGTCAAGGATTAAATAATGGAAACAACAGGGAATTCTCTTTGCCAAACATAAAGATATAAAAAAGTCCGTATTGATGTCATTAGTGTTCACCTTTAAAGCCTCATAATGATCGCACCCTTCCTCATTATGGGAAATAATGCTTTTGGAAAGGAATAAAGATTTTTTTTTTCTGCAAAGTCAAAAACTGCTCTATCTAGTTGCAATCATGTTTTCAGTATGCTCATAAAACAAAAAGCTATTGGCAATACTTCAACTACAACTCTAAACTTTATTGGAAATGTAGCTGCTACAGAGCAGGGTGCTTAAAGACCGTCTTTGTCTACACAGCGCAGTATTGAGCGTAGGTCATCAGGTTTTGGCAGCGAACGAAAAAGACTTGGAAGTGTGAAATATGCTTCGGGTGACGGTAACGCACATTAAGAGGGAGGGAAACACGAGCCGTCACCTGACCTGTGTAGACAGCTTTATTGATTACTGTAGAAGATAAAAGCATAATCTGTTCTGGGAAACACGTGTGTAGGCGTTGAAACACTTGAGTGAAGTTGTGACTGAGCTGTTGTGCAGCCAGAACAACAGGGACGTAAAGCAGCGACGGTTGAAGTGACGATCACAGCGCCCATATATATTCAAACGCGTTGCCGTAGTGATGGAAGTCAAGTTTCGCTTCTTCAGGAAACCGAGGTCGTTCTGAGCGTCGCTGAAATAAATGATGCGAGAGCTCCTGACGTTTGCTTTAGAGACAATTTAATGTCAGATGAGTTTTATAAAGTAAGTTTGTCTGTGAATAAACTGGAAAAATCCATCAAAATTAGCAGATATCACGGTCCATAAAACTACTGATGGTATAATTGAATATAAACAAAATGACAGTGTCAAATATGACAAAAACCTGTAACTACCCACAAACTAGAGAAGAAGAGCCGTCTCAGATGTCGCCAGGAAACCTGAAGTATTTACTGTAAACACATTTTGACGGGACACAGGTAAATTCTGGCCTCTCGTGACGACGGTTCATTCCACAGCCGTGACAGGCGAACGACTTCCTCGTTTGCATTCAGAACAAAAAGCAGGGGGAATAAAACAAAGTCATTAGTGCTTGTTGCTTTATTGTTATGTTGTCAACCTCGGTGTCTAATAGCTGATTCACTCACATACAGACATGAAGCGCCGGAGTCGCTGCCTCTCATTTGCAGAGGTGTGATGGCGAAACAAACGGGAAAGCAGCATTTTTAAATTAACAAATAAATGAATGAGGTGCAGTGGGTATCTATTTCCACATGAACTATTAAAGAGTCTCGCTGCTGCCGTCCAGAAGACACTGCATCAATTAGACAGAAGGAGGTGGGCAGAGTGAAAAATAGCCCATTGTTTTTTTTTTTCCATCTTGTCAGCGAGGCTCCAGGTGTCTCATAAAGAATTTACTGTGCCCGCAGCATTAAGCAAATGTGGAGACACCTTTCTCTTTTTTAACATAACTATCCACCGCCATGATGAAACCAGCTGTCGGGAGGGAAAGAGAAGCAGGGATCAATACTGCTTCGCTTTTGGGGACGATTACAGCATAAATCCCCCAAACTGACCCATATATCTGTTATTGGCCATTACAGAAAATACAAGACGACAGTTCTGCTCTGATTGAAATACTGTGAAGACAAAAAAATGACCACATAAAGATGGTTTGCACACTGCGACCCCTGAGAAAGAAAAAGATGAAAACATTAAGCATCGTGTGCCTGTAATCAGTAAAAGGAGAAGTCAGAGGAGTGAGATGTCAGGAGTGTAGAACAATGAAGAATATAAACCATGTGAAGTTTCCTCATGTAATCATCTTCTGGTTTCAGATGACTCTTATTGGATTAGGCTTTGGACACACAATAACACTGAGCTCCATATTTATTACATCACAATACAAAAACAACGTCAGTATTTTAGTATTGTTGCAGAGCCACAGAGTTAGAAGAGTTTGGAGTGTCACTTTAGAGAGTGAACAAGTTCTCAAACAGTCACTGAAACAAACAATGGACATGTGACCACAGAGTAAACAGGAAGGACCAACTGCTAAATTTAAAGTTAGACATTTATATCCTCGTTTATGACCCCAGCGGATTTCTAACATCATTTCAAATCTTTATTTTATGGGGGACCTTTATTTTGAAGATGTTGATTTCTCGGTGCATCAGGTGGTTGAAACATGTTTTCTCTAGATAGTGTCTTTTATGTTCAGGTAAGTGTTGTGTTTGAGTCATTTTCTTCAGGCTGAAGGACAAACCTTTCTTAAATTTGAAACCCCTTGGACTGAATGGGCGCTGTGAAGGACCAAACACTAATTTCCAGGCTGAATGATCCATTTCTGGAGAGTGGACTCTGCTGTAGAAACTAGGGAGGTCGTGATACCAGAAATTTTTACCAAAACCAATGAAATTCCACGATTCTCAATAACAAATTCGATACCACAAAATTATTATTTTGCAGCATAATACTGTAGTGAGCACCCAGCTATCGCTACGTTAGCCTAAAGAGGATGATGTTAGCCTGAAGAGGATAATTTTATCCTAAAAAGAGGATAACGTTAGCTTAAAGAGGATAATGTTAGCCTAAAAAGAGTAAAGTTAGCCTAAAGAGGATAATGTTAGCCTATAACTCCCATAATGTCCCTGGTAGAACCCACCGTAACTAGTGTGTTTTAGCAAAACTGTGGAAATATAAGAACTGTGAAGGTGGTGAGACATAACTTGATCATATGACTGACTAGTCATTAGTGTATGAATGACAATAAGTTCCTCCTTTTCTTTTAGTGAATTAATTAATTTAATAATTTTTCTAATTTGCTCTGTTTATTTGTGACAGACATGACTGCCTTCTGTAATAATGAGAACAAGGGAACAGTGCATCTCTGAACTAATAGTAACGTTTAACCTTCGTAAGCCTGATAACAGTTTTAACAGAATATTGACCCCAAAAATCAAAATGAAGTCATCAAATTCCCAAAGCGTCCTTTTAGAAATCATAACGAATGACTCCATGTAAAGAGGACGTTCAGGAAGTCGGTGTACATGGATACGGTCGCATCTGTGTGGTGTTACAGGCTGAAAAGAAAAGAAGAATCATGGTCTTGCACTTCAAAATGAAGGATGTTGTTTGTGTTCTCTGTGTTCAGATCAGCGGGGGAGAGAGTTACACCATCGGACTGAGATTCGCCCCCAGCCAGAGTCCCGGCTCAGTGGAGATCCTGGTCTACGTGAACAACCTGGAGGAGAAGACGGAGGAGACGTTCTGTGTGAAAGTCAACTACTCGTGACCCGACGTTTGTTTGTTTGCTTCAAACACAGAGTAAAACTACTTCCTCGGAAATGTTGACTGTGTGTTTGGAATAAACACCTGAGCACAAATGAGCTGGAGGTTTTATACCAAGTGTGTGTAATTTTATATTAGATCAGATTTAATACAAAAATAAACTTTTTGTTTTTATCACATATATAGTTTTCTTTTGAAGTTTTATTTTATGAATGGAGGAGATTTTTTTTTCTTCTGCTGGCTCAGTGCGCTTCAGTGGAATAAGGTTACAAGAATCAAACACTGAATGCAAACTACGCTCTCTTAAAAGCCCAAACACAACACTTGGTTTACTAAATTGTCCACTAAAGCAAAGTAGAAACTAAACTTAAAAGTGCTTTTATGCATAAAAACTGAAAATTCGAGTGCAAGGAGGAAAAGTAGCTGAAGGTAAACACGATTTTCTGTCTTGTAATCAGAGATATCAGCGTCAAGGCTGAATCTCAGCAGTGATCCGTCCTCTGCCGAAATGTCCGACAAATGTCTGACGGTTCACCCCCGACCAGCCGAAGGTGGGCCAAGGGTGAAAGCAATAACATTTTATCGACTTTAATTACCCTCCAAACCCACTTGAATGCCACTTGATGGTTGAGTTTTAATCTAAGACAAGCCAGGGGTCCGCTCTCCCCGTCCCCTCACCTCCCAAACAACTAATCCTCATCACCGGCGTTATTAGAAACAGTGCCGTAATGAGGTGTGATTTTCCAGCGAGGCGCACTTCTCTTCAGATCGCCCTCATTAACACCAGCATCCTTTTAAACCCTCCATCCTCTCCTTCCTGCTCGCTCTGCTGCACGTCTCTCTATCTGAGGTACAGACAGAGAGAGAGAGAGAGAGAGAGAGAGAGAAGGCCATGCACATTGTGTTATGTAACACAGAGTTACACAACCTCCACCACCGCCCCCCACACCCACACTCCCTCCCTCCTTTGCTTTCTCTCTCATTAGAATGCAGGCTGCAAAATAAGCCTCAGCACAGCAGCAAAGGCTAATAAAAAAAGAACATCTCAACCGAGCCGGATGCACTTCAACTTTACCTTCTCTCGCATCGTGTCTGAAGCCGACACCTCACTGTCTTCTCCGCTTTATGTTAATATGTTAACAGCCTACAGAAACACACATTAAAGCTGTGTTCACTTAATAATTAGTTCCACATAGCCTTTGACACTCTGGCTCTTTATGCTAAAAGATGCGCTGTGCTAAAAGGAGAGGTCTGGATCTCTTTAAGCTCGTCTTCATACACGACTCTACGTGCATGTTGCTGTAATCACTCCAGCTATGCACACTGGCCCCGGTGATCTTTTTCTGACGTGACTACGGCGTAAGAAACAAACACAAAACACACGTTGTAAAGCAAAGTAATGGTGCAGCAGATAATTGTAATAATCTTTTAAATGTGGTTACAAAAATAAATAAATAAATAAATAAAAGCCCTTTAGCTATTAGCTGCCATTTTCCAAGATGGCCGTCATTTCCGGCATAAGAAACATGTTTTACCACAGAGTTTTATCCCTGGACAGATTTCAGTGATTTTGCAATTAAATCCTGTGTTTTTGACTGTGAGGACAATTATTAATGTCAATTAAATATTATTTTAAATCATTAAAATTATTTTGGCCTGTCCCTCTGTACGATTGTTCTAATTCAGCAGGAGTTTTAATTTGTAAAATGTAGGTAAACATTTTTACAGTGTTCTGAATTTTTACCTTCTGGTTTGATAAAATGATTTGACACCTGGATCATCCGTATGGGAAAATTGTGGGTGAGTTGCAAAAAAAAAAAAGACATTTCCTTGCCAGAAATGTCAGCCGTCTTGGAAATGGTGACCATCTTGAAGGAGGATTTGTGCCAAGTTGAGTACTTTGAAATGTGCAGTTATCTGCTGAGCGTCTTCCAAAGTTAAGAGCTCTTTGTTCTCTTTGTGTTCACACAGAATGAAATAAAACGTCAACAGGACCGCCTGCATGAGGACAGCCCAGACAAACTGCCACATTCACTCCATTCGTTAAACCTGATGTCGTCTTCACGTTCGCTGGTTTCTCTTCAGAATGGGATTGTTTTGTTTTTTTTCTTTTGCCTTCACCAATCTGAGGCAAAGAGATGTAGTTGTTCCACCAACACCATGTTTATCTGTGAAAATCAAGTTAATTTGATGCAGTGGCAGTTAAAGCTAGAGGTTGCTAGGAGAAGTTATCTTAAGGGCTGTTATTTCTAGAAGTCGATGTAAGTTAACCAGCGCGGCTGCATCGACCTCATCCGTGCACTTTACCGTTTTTCAGAAGCCACTTGTCACGTGTGTTGCTCGGTAGCTACCTAGCTATGTCTTAATTCTAATTCTATACCTGTCACACTCTGATTGTTTCTCCAACCAGGGGAAACTGTCAAGTTGAATCACTGAACCAATGATGTGATTCAGAGCTCTACAAACATGCTTAGCTAAAGCCTCGAATTAGCTTCAGCTGAACTTTAAACATGTATATCTGCACAGAATCAGGACTGTGAGAGGATGCTATGAGAGGAGATCACAGTGACAGATATTAATCTGAGCCCATCCTTTAAATGCCAGCACAAGTGAATGAAGTTTTGTTTTCACCGTCCTCACAGCTCGCTCCCCGTGTGTGTGTTTGGGTGGAGAGTGGCGACCAGCCGTCATGTTTCCATGCGTCACTACCTGTGTGTGAAAGAGATTTCCTGTCAGCCTCCATCCCCAATTTGAGCAAAAATAACACACAGCCTCTCTGGTAGGGAAGGTTTCTGTTTCCTGTTGCAGCTGTGGTTTGTGATTCAACGTAGGCTGATGAGGCAGGTGTGTTTTGAGTTTAAAAAAAAAAAAAAAGAAAAGAAATGGTGCCGGTTGCAGTTATAATACCTTGATCCCCGTTGGAGCAGCAGCTCTCAGTGTGAGCTGCATGGTTGTTCTCTCAGTGAGGGGCAGAGCAGCGCTGACACCTTATTAGCGCTGCCAGTCCAGTTGTTGTCGGTTCCTCCTGAAGGAGCACAGACACCCGCCACAACAGCTCACACTGTCTGCTCACCTTGTTAGAGTGGTTAGACAACTCCTGTCTAGCTGCCCAGCTGAAAGGCTGCCTTGATATTTTGCCGGGTGGAAGGGTTATTGTTATTGCCCTGATTTGGAGAGAACCAGGCCTACCTACGGGGTGCATGTCTGTGTGTTAGTATGGTCTTTTGTATGTGTGTGTGTGTGTGTGTGTGTGTGTGTGTGTGTGCAGCTGCCTGGCCTGAGCCATGTGAGTGGGTGCATGTCTGTGAGAGCATACAGCGATGCAGGTATCAAAGAGCTTTGTAACTGGAGGAATATGCAACCTAGCAACCAGCCCTCCTCCTCATGTACACCGCTGGCCTGGATCAGCTCTCACACAGTGGAGGGAAGAGAGCTTGTGTGTATAATTGCAATCTACTTCAAGCTGTAGACCATCAAACCGAGAACAAACACACATCACAACAGAGGACTCGTTTTTTTAAAGCTACAGCTACAGAAAAATTTAAAAAACAAAAAAGGAAATTCACGTCTTGCCACGCCCTGATCAGTGATGTCACAGCTAATGTCTTTCACAGCTGGCAAAGGCAAAAACACCTGCTATGACATCACTGATTGGGGTGTGGCTAAACAGCAACGAGCTTGCAGGTTTCACCTCACAGGGTTGAGTTAAGTCTTTTATACAGTGATACAGGAAGTGACAGTGAAACAGGAGGAAGAAAGTAAGAGAAATGAGAGAAGGGGTAAAGTTAAAGCAGCTGTCTGGTTTTATCTCGGGGGGGGGGGGGCTGGATCAGATCAGACGTGAAGTGTGTGAAGGAGCTCTTAACAAATTGAAATTCAATTACCTTGTTACTCGTCTCAGCAGGACCTCCTCCCTCAGCCGCCACTGTCGAGCACAAAGGATGTTTCGCCGAGGGAGCGTCACTGCTCCTCTCTCTGCAGACAAACATCCATTTTGAAGACAGATCTCAGTAGATGGCAGCCTTACACATACAGCCAGCCGCCGCTGCTGCTCTCACCAGCCTCCCTGTCCTCACAGGCAGGAGGAAACCAAACAGTTACAACACGTGGACCTCCAATCTCACTTCTGTTCAGTTCAATTCAGTGCCTCTATTGTCACAGTGGAACATACAGTAGCAGAACTCTGCATACAAGTAATCACATTACAGTCCATATGAATAAATATAAAACAAACAATAAATAATATTGATGGCAAGGAAAGGATTTGTTCCTTGATTTCATGATTTCAAATCAAAAACATCAGTCTTTTCTGTGCTGGATATATACGGTGAGTTTACACTGCATTCTATTTAAAAATTAAATTATAGAAATATTAAACCTTTAATTGCTCAGGGAAGATGGTAACGTTGCTCTTAATGTTTGCTTCCGTGTTTGCTTGTTCACCTTCTGTTTTGCCGATCCAGTTCTCATGGAAAGAATGAGAAGCTTGTTTCTTTAGTTGCTCGAGAAACGGGTCCAAACTGTTGTGTGGGTTCACAGGTCTGTCAGACACCCGAGGCTGCAGCTAGAATCAGACATCATTTAAATCTCATGGTTTCGTACAAACACACACACACACACAGTGTATGTATTTATGCATCTTAAATGTACAGTAAGTGTCCTCCATATGTAAGCCAGTGCTCACTGCTTCTAATCTGTCATATGGACGGGGATGAATGCCTAAAATAATGTTATTGTCTCCAGAAGACAGATCATCTTATAAATGGGTCAGTGGTTCATGATGGTAACAGCTACAAATGATGTCTTATACGAGTGACCTCTTCTAAGTGTCCTTGAACAATTTGTCAGCCGGTGCTGCTCCCTCGCCGTTAATTATCTAGAACAAGTGTCAGCTACATGCCCAGGTTGAAACTGTAAATAAGCTCAAATCAGGAAAGCAAGGGGAGAGCCGATGCTGGTACAGTGGCAGGTCAGGTTTGAAGCTTAAAAAGACTTAAAATTCCTAAAAATGTCAATTTCCAACAGTTTGCTTTATATACTGGTTATATACTGAGATCATGCGGGTTTATGGGATAATAAAGCAAAGATATATTGAGG